TACTGTTACTGATGCTGCTGTTACTGATGCTGCTGTTACTGATGCTGCTGTTACTGATGCTACTGTTACTGATGCTGCTGTTACTGATGCCACTGTTCCTGATGCTGCTTCTGCTACTGATGCTACTGTTACTGATGCTGCTGTTCCTGATGCTGCTACAGCTACTGATGCTACTGTTACTGATGCTGCTGTTACTGATGCCACTGTTCCTGATGCTGCTACTGCTACTGATGCTACTGCTACTGATGCTGCTGTTACTGATGCCACTGTTCCTGATGCTGCTACTGCTACTGATGCTACTGTTACTGATGCTGCTGTTCCTGATGCTGCTACTGCTACTGATGCTACTGCTACTGATGCTGCTGTTACTGATGCCACTGTTCCTGATGCTGCTACTGCTACTGATGCTACTGTTACTGATGCTGCTGTTACTGATGCTGCTACTGCTACTGATGCTACTGTTACTGATGCTGCTGTTCCTGATGCTGCTACTGCTACTGATGCTACTGTTACTGATGCTGCTGTTCCTGATGCTGCTACTGCTACTGATGCTACTGTTCCTGATGCTGCTGTTACTGATGCCACTGTTCCTGATGCTGCTGTTCCTGATGCTGCTACTGCTACTGATGCTACTGTTACTGATGCTGCTGTTACTGATGCCACTGTTCCTGATGCTGCTACTGCTACTGATGCTACTGTTCCTGATGCTGCTGTTACTGATGCCACAGTTCATGATGCTGCTACTGCTACTGATGCTACTGTTACTGATGCTGCTGTTCCTGATGCTGCTACTGCTACTGATGCTACTGTTCCTGATGCTGCTGTTACTGATGCCACTGTTCCTGGTGCTGCTACTGCTACTGATGCTACTGTTACTGATGCTGCTGTTCCTGATGCTGCTACTGCTACTGATGCTACTGTTACTGATGCTGCTACTGATGCTGCTACTGCTACTGATGCTACTGCTACTGATGCCGCTGTTCCTGATGCTGCTACTGCTACTGATGCTACTGTTACTGATGCTGCTACTGATGCTGCTACTGCTACTGATGCTACTGCTACTGAGGGCCACTGTTCCTGATGCTGCTACTGCTACTGATGCTACTGTTACTGTTTGCTGCTGTTCCTGATGCTGCTACTGATGCTGCTACTGCTACTTATGCTACTGCTACTGATGCCGCTGTTCCTGATGCTGCTACTGTTACTGATGCTACTGTTACTGATGCTGCTGTTCCTGATGCTGCTACTGCTACTGATGCTACTGTTACTGATGCTGCTACTGATGCTGCTACTGCTACTGATGCTACTGTTACTGATGCTGCTACTGATGCTGCTACTGCTACTGACGCTACTGCTACTGATGCCACTGGTCCTGATGCTGCTACTGATGCTGCTACTGCTACTGATGCTACTGCTACTGATGCCACTGTTCCTGATGCTGCTACTGCTACTGATGCTACTGTTACTGATACTGCTACTGATGCTGCTACTGCTACTGATGCTACTGCTACTGATGCTACTGTTCCTGATGCTGCTACTGATGCTGCTACTGCTGCTAATGCTACTGCTACTGATGCCACTGTTCCTGATGCTGCTACTGCTACTGATGCTACTGTTACTGATGCTGCTACTGATGCTGCTACTGATGCTGCTACTGATGCTGCTGTTCCAGATGCTGGTACTGCTACTGATGCTACTGCTACTGATGCCACTGTTCCTGATGCTGCTACTGCTACTGATGCTACTGTTACTGATGCTGCTACTGATGCTGCTACTGATGCTGCTACTGATGCTGCTGTTCCTGATGCTGCTGTTACTGATGTTGTTACTGATGCTTCTGTTACTGATGCTGCTGTTCCTGATGCTGCTACTGATGCTGCTACTGATGCTACTGTTACTGATGCTGCTGTTACTGATGCCACTGTTACTGATGCTGCTACTGCTACTGATGCTACTGTTACTGATGCTGCTGTTATTGATGCCAGTTACTGATGCTGCTACTGCTACTGATGCTACTGCTACTGATGCTACTGCTACTGATGCTACTGCTACTGATGCCACTGTTCCTGATGCTGCTACTGCTACTGATGCTACTGTTACTGATGCTGCTGTTACTGATGCTGCTACTGATGCTACTGCTACTGATGCTGCTGTTATTGATGCCACTGTTACCGATGCTGCTACTGCTACTGATGCTATTGCTACTGATGCTACTGCTACTGATGCCACTGTTCCTGATGCTGCTACTGCTACTGATGCTACTGTTACTGATGCTGCTGTTCCTGATGCTGCTACTGCTACTGATGCCACTGTTCCTGATGCTGCTACTGATGCTGCTACTGCTACTGATGCTACTGCTACTGATGCCACTGTTCCTGATGCTGCTACTGCTGCTGATGCTGCTGTTACTGATGCTGTTACTGATGCTACTGCTACTGATGCTGCTGTTACTGATGCTGCTGTTACTGATGCTGCTACTGATGCTACTGCTACTGATGCCACTGTTCCTGATGCTGCTACTGCTACTGATGCTGCTGTTACTGATGCTGTTACTGATGCTACTGCTACTGATGCTGCTGTTACTGATGCTGCTGTTACTGATGCTGCTACTGATGCTACTGTTACTGATGCTGCTACTGCTACTGATGCTACTGTTCCTGATGCTGCTGTTACTGATGCCACTGTTCCTGATGCTGCTACTGCTACTGATGCTACTGTTACTGATGCTGCTGTTACTGATGCCACTGTTCCTGATGCTGCTACTGCTACTGATGCTACTGTTACTGATGCTGCTGTTCCTGATGCTGCTACTGCTACTGATGCTACTGTTACTGATGCTGCTGTTCCTGATGCTGCTACTGCTACTGATGCTACTGTTCCTGATGCTGCTGTTACTGATGCCACTGTTCCTGATGCTGCTACTGCTACTGATGCTACTGTTACTGATGCTGCTGTTCCTGATGCTGCTACTGCTACTGATGCTACTGTTACTGATGCTGCTACTGATGCTGCTACTGCTACTGATGCTACTGCTACTGATGCCGCTGTTCCTGATGCTGCTACTGCTACTGATGCTACTGTTACTGATGCTGCTACTGGTGCTGCTACTGCTACTGATGCTACTGCTACTGATGCCACTGTTCCTGATGCTGCTACTGCTACTGATGCTACTGTTACTGATGCTGCTGTTCCTGATGCTGCTACTGATGCTGCTACTGCTACTGATGCTACTGCTACTGATGCCGCTGTTCCTGATGCTGCTACTGTTACTGATGCTACTGTTACCGATGCTGCTGTTCCTGATGCTGCTACTGCTACTGATGCTACTGTTACTGATGCTGCTACTGATGCTGCTACTGCTACTGATGCTACTGTTACTGATGCTGCTACTGATGCTGCTACTGCTACTGATGCTACTGCTACTGATGCCACTGGTCCTAATGCTGCTACTGATGCTGCTACTGCTACTGATGCTACTGCTACTGATGCCACTGTTCCTGATGCTGCTACTGCTACTGATGCTACTGTTACTGATGCTGCTACTGATGCTGCTACTGCTACTGATGCTACTGTTACTGATGCTACTGTTCCTGATGCTGCTACTGATGCTGCTACTGCTGCTGATGCTACTGCTACTGATGCCACTGTTCCTGATGCTGCTACTGCTACTGATGCTACTGCTACTGATGCTGCTACTGATGCTGCTACTGATGCTGCTGTTATTGATGCTGCTGTTACTGATGCTGCTACTGATGCTGCTACTAATGCTACTGCTACTGATGCTGCTGTTACTGATGCTGCTACTGATGCTGCTGCTGATGCTGCTACTGATGCTACTGCTACTGATGCTGCTGTTACTGATGCTGCTGCTGTTACTGATGTTGCTGTTACTGATGCTGCTGCTGCTACTGATGCTGCTACTGATGCTGCTACTGATGCTGATGCTGCTGCTGTTGCTACTGATGCTGCTGCTGATGCGGCTGCTGCTATTGCTGCTGCTACTGATGCTGCTATTGCTGCTGCTACTGATGCTGCTGCTGCTGCTACTGCTACTGATGTTGCTGCTGCTGCTGCTGCTGCTACTGATGCTGCTGCTGTTGCTTCGGATGCTGCTGCTGCGGATGCTGCTGCTGCGGATGCTGCTACTGCTACTGATGTTGCTGCTGCTGCTGCTACTGCTGCTATTACTGCTGCTGCTGCTGTTGCTGCTGCTGCTGCTGCTGCTGCTGCTGCTGCTGCTGCTGCTGCTGCTGCTGCTGCTGCTGCTGCTGCTGCTGCTGCTGATAAGCTGCTGCTGCTGCTACTACTGATGCTGCTGCTGCTACTACTGCTGCTGCTGCTACTACTACTGCTGCTGTTACTGCTGCTGCTGCTACTACTACTGCTGCTGCTACTGCTGCTGCTACTACTGATGCTGCTGTTGATGCTGCCGCTACTGTTATTGATGCTAACTTCATCTAAATCTCCTAAACCTTCTCAACGGCATCTAAACCACCCAAGATAACAGCAACTATCAGTAATTAGTGTCAGTTTAACATCTTCATTATGTACCCCAGACCCATCCTGTGAGTGGTAGTCGAAAGATTACAAAGGTACATAATGGGTCCAGGGACTGGACCCCAAAGTTTTGATTGTTGAACATGTTATAAGTCAGTGGTAGGGCCTCGTGGCCTGGTGACAAAAGTTCTCGCTTCACACGGTGAGGGTCCGGGTTCGTTTCCCGGCGAAGGTAGAAACACTGGACGTGTTTTCTTACACCGGTTGTCTATGTTCACCCATCAGTAAAATAGGTACCTGGGTGTTAGTTGACTGGTGTGGGTCGCATCCTGGGGACAAAACTGACCTAATTTGCCCGAAATGATCAGCATAACAAGCGGCTTTCTACATAGTAATATTTCACTGATGTCAGCTATGGTCTGTATACTATGTATATGTAATAGTAGTAAATGAAAATATTATTGTTATAATGGTCATGAGGTGTGCGCTTGTGTGACCTCATCTTGTTTACTGCATCAGCTGTGAGGTTGTAAACAAACAACAGTGATCACACTTGACACCTTCCAGAAGTGCACTGCTGCGTCTCCTCAGAAGAAGAGGAAGAGGAAGAAGAGGAGGAGGAAGAGAAGACACATAATGACGGATGTGGAGCTCAAGAACAGAGGGAATAAGTTGTTCTCCGTCAGGAAATTTGAAGAAGCCATCAAGTGCTACACAGATGCCATCGTGAGTGCCTCGCTCGGTGATCCGTGCTGGTTTAGCGCTTACTTGTCATTGTGGCCTGGTGGCAAAAGCTCCTGCTTCACACGGTGAGGGTCCGGGTTCGAGTCCCGGCGAAGGGGTGGAGACACTGGACGTGTTTCCTTACAACGAAATGCCCCGGGCATGATATTGGCTTTCTTCGTACTTAACTAAACAATATTGTATATACACATTGTAACCTTACAAATAAATAAAGTCTTTATCTTATCTTTTATGTTCACCCATCAATTCAAAATAGGTACCTGGGTGTTAGTGGACTGGTGTGGGTCGCATCCTGGGTGTTAGTGGACTGGTGTGGGTCACATCCTGGGTGTTAGTGGACTGGTGTGGGTCGCATCCTGGGTGTTAGTGGACTGGTGTGGGTCGCATCCTGGGTGTTAATGGGCTGGTGTGGGTCACATCCTGGGCGTTAGTGGACTGGTGTGGGTCGCATCCTGGGTGTTAGTGGACTGGTGTGGGTCGCATCCTGGGTGTTAGTGGACTGGTGTGGGTCACATCCTGGGTGTTAGTGGACTGGTGTGGGTCGCATCCTGGGTGTTAGTGGACTGGTGTGGGTCGCATCCTGGGTGTTAGTGGACTGGTGTGGGTCACATCCTGGGTGTTAGTGGACTGGTGTGGGTCGCATCCTGAGTGTTAGTGGACTGGTGTGGGTCGCATCCTGGGTGTTAGTGGACTGGTGTGGATCGCATCCTGGGTGTTAGTGGACTGGTGTGGATCGCATCCTGGGTGTTAGTGGACTGGTGTGGGTCGCATCCTGGGTGTTAGTGGACTGGTGTGGATCGCATCCTGGGTGTTAGTGGACTGGTGTGGGTCGCATCCTGGGTGTTAGTGGACTGGTGTGGATCGCATCCTGGGTGTTAGTGGACTGGTGTGGATCGCATCCTGGGTGTTAGTGGACTGGTGTGGATCGCATCCTGGGTGTTAGTGGACTGGTGTGGTCGCATCCTGGTGTTAGTGGACTGGTGTGGATCGCATCCTGGGTGTTAGTGGACTGGTGTGGATCGCATCCTGGGTGTTAGTGGACTGGTGTGGGTCGCATCCTGAGTGTTAGTGGACTGGTGTGGGTCACATCCTGGGTGTTAGTGTACTGGTGTGGGTCACATCCTGGGTGTTAGTGGACTGGTGTGGGTCACATCCTGGGTGTTAGTGGACTGGTGTGGGTCGCATCCTGGGACAAAATTGACCTAATTTGCCCAAAATACTCAGCATAACAAGTGGCTTTCTGTATAGTAGTATGTCATTAATATCAGTTATGGTCTGTATACCTTGTACATGTTGTAAATAAAGATATTATTATTATGATAATTGTACAGATGTGTACCTCTGCCTAAATAAACTTACTTATTATGTAAATAACTTTGCTTACTTTATTCCTGTTATATTTCCTTTTATTTTAACTGATTTTCACATATTTGAGTTATTTAGCTGGTTTAACTTACGAGGTTATAATTACAATTGATTCTTACTTTAACTTATTGCTAGGCTTTAATTAATAAGATATTACAAGGACCCCAATGGGATCCTTGTAATATCTTATTAATATCTTATTATCATACATGTTACAGCACAATTCCCCTCAAGGAAGGTTCCTTGATGTTGGTGAGGGGCTCTTGATTTAGGGAATTGGATCTGTGCTCCAGTTCCCCAAATTAAGCCTGAATGCCTTCCACATCCCCTCCCCCCAGGTGCTGTATAATCCTCCGGATTTAGCGCTTCCCCCTTGATTATAATAATAATACAGCACAATTATCATACATGTATGATAATTGTACTTATATGTACCTGTATCTAAAGAGATTTACTTAGGCACTGGTCACAGTGTACTATCCATGAATGTTATACATTATGCATATTAAACCTGCTTGTGTATCTATATATTGTATATTTATTATGATGCTGTGTGTAAATAGACACACATGAACATATGATGCTGTGTGTAGATAGAGACACATGAACATATGATGCTGTGTGTAGATAGACACACATGAACATATGATGCTGTGTGTAGATAGACACACATGAACATTATGATGCTGTGTGTAGATAGACACACATGAACATTATGATGCTGTGTGTAGATAGACACACATGAACATTATGATGCTGTGTGTAGATAGACACACATGAACATATGATACTGTGTGTAGATAGACACACATGAACATTATGATGCTGTGTGTAGATAGACACACATGAACATTATGATGCTGTGTGTAGATAGACACACATGAACATTATGATGCTGTGTGTAGATAGAGACACATGAACATATGATGCTGTGTGTAGATAGACACACATGAACATTATGATGCTGTGTGTAGATAGACACACATGAACATTATGATGCTGTGTGTAGATAGACACACATGAACATTATGATGCTGTGTGTAGATAGACACACATGAACATTATGATGCTGTGTGTAGATAGACACACATGAACATTATGATGCTGTGTGTAGATAGACACACATGAACATTATGATGCTGTGTGTAGATAGACACACATGAACATATGATACTGTGTGTAGATAGACACACATGAACATTATGATGCTGTGTGTAGATAGACACACATGAACATATGATGCTGTGTGTAGATAGACACCATGAACATTATGATGCTGTGTGTAGATAGACACACATGAACATTATGATGCTGTGTGTAGATAGACACACATGAACATTATGATGCTGTGTGTAGATAGACACACATGAACATTATGATGCTGTGTGTAGATAGACACACATGAACATTATGATACTGTGTGTAGATAGACACACATGAACATTATGATGCTGTGTGTAGATAGACACACATGAACATATGATGCTGTGTGTAGATAGACACACATGAACATTATGATGCTGTGTGTAGATAGACACACATGAACATTATGATGCTGTGTGTAGATAGACACACATGAACATTATGATGCTGTGTGTAGATAGACACACATGAACATTATGATACTGTGTGTAGATAGACACGCATGAACATTATGATGCTGTGTGTAGATAGACACACATGAACATTATGATACTGTGTGTAGATAGACACACATGAACATATGCTGTGTGTAGATAGACACACATGAACATTATGATACTGTGTGTAGATAGACACATGAACATTATGATACTGTGTGTAGATAGACACACATGAACATTATGATACTGTGTGTAGATAGACACGCATGAACATTATGATGCTGTGTGTAGATAGACACACATGAACATTATGATACTGTGTGTAGATAGACACACATGAACATATGATGCTGTGTGTAGATAGACACACATGAACATTATGATACTGTGTGTAGATAGACACACATGAACATATGATGCTGTGTGTAGATAGACACACATGAACATTATGATACTGTGTGTAGATAGACACACATGAACATATGATGCTGTGTGTAGATAGACACACATGAACATTATGATACTGTGTGTAGATAGACACACATGAACATTATGATACTGTGTGTAGATAGACACACATGAACATTATGATACTGTATGTAGATAGACACGCATGAACATTATGATGCTGTGTGTAGATAGACACACATGAACATTATGATACTGTGTGTAGATAGACATGCATGAACACTATGATGCTGTGTGTAGATAGACACACATGAACATTATGATACTGTGTGTAGATAGACACACATGAACATTATGATACTGTATGTAGATAGACACGCATGAACATTATGATGCTGTGTGTAGATAGACACACATGAACATTATGATACTGTGTGTAGATAGACATGCATGAACACTATGATGCTGTGTGTAGATAGACACACATGAACATTATGATACTGTGTGTAGATAGACACGCATGAACATTATGATGCTGTGTGTAGACACACATGAACATTGTGATGCTGTGTGTAGACACACATGAACATTTCAGAACATTTATTGAGAAAACATTTTGGCACGAGTGGCGTCTTCAAGCCTATGAATACAAATAATGAGTAACTAGCTAAAATAAATAAATGCTTTGTTTCCATTAGATATTTATTTTCTATAAGATTGGATAACATTAAAAAATACCCATGAAAGGTTCCCAGTTCTGCAGAGCATTTCTTGCTAAGCTGAAACCTAAGACTTATTTGAACAACTTAATAAACGCTGTATATAATATGTATACAAAGATGGACATTAAAGAGAGACAGCAATTATGTATATTGATGTTCAACTCAACAGTTTTTCTACAGTACTTTATGTAACACTGAAAATTTGTCTCTTTGAGCTTTATTCATTCAGAAACCTTCACAAGCAGCCTAATAAATGGTTAAATAAAATGGGAAGTGTGTATGCTTATGTAAATGTGAAATTAAGTATATAACACAAGGAACCCAATGGAAATTAGTCACACTAACTTTGTTGAGTTATTTTTGGTTAAATTTTTATGTAATTTACTATATAAAGCCATTGTAACAGTTTGAGCTTGTGTATTAGGCCTAAATAAAACTTTTTTGATTTTTCACGAGGCCTCGGTTCACCCTGATAATTGTTTTAAGCTATACCTTTGAAGAGTTACCTTTGTAAAGTTTCGAGAGTAGTGAAACTCTTGATATAGTGAGAGGCTATATTGAGCCTCTCGATATAACGAGAGGCTCAATATTCTGATCAGGCTCGCTATATTGAGTCAGACTTTTGTATTGTTATTTCATCCTAACTATTAAAGGTCATATATGTTAATGATTTTAACAGCTGCCTACTTTGATTTTGTTGTTTACTTAGGCGAGGGAAGTGCTGTCATGCTGGTGCAGGGTTCTTGATAAAGGAATTGAAGCTACCACTCCCTTCTCTTGGATCATATGTAATTCTCTCTCATTCCTTATGTCTTGCATGATCCCTACAGGTTTAGTACTTTCCCGTGAGTATAACAGCGCTCGCACAACTCAGGATCTTTAAGTTAGTATTTAAAAATGGTGATAACAAAGAACAAACAAGAATATGAGAACAAAGAAACACTGCAGTAGGCCTGATTGGCCAGTCCTAGGCAGGTAACACTCAGTCAACTACACTTGTTCATGTATCCAACCATTCTCTTTTTAACCCAGAGTTTTAGCCTCAGTGACACTACCTAGGAGTTTGCTCCACTTATCTACAACCTAATTGCCAAACCACTACTTCCCTGTACCTTTTCTAACTCTAGCTTTATCCATCTTGAAGCCATGGCTGTGAGTCCTGGCTTATTTCATTACTCTCAGCACATTATTTATATATTTTCTTATTGTCCCTGATACTATGCCAAACAATAACAAGAGTTGAATTTTTATTTGAATTATATTTAGATACAGTACAATTTGAATGTGTATTAATTTGACTAAGTCCCTTCCATCCTCTTTCAGTCTAAAAAGCCATCAGTTGCTGTATACTACACAAATAGGGCGTTATGCAACTTAAAACTGAAGCGATGGGAGCTAGTATGCCAGGATTGCCGCACAGCACTCGAGATAGATCCCACAGTGGTGAAAGCGCACTTCTTTCTTGGCCAAGCCCTTCTAGAAACAGATAATTTTGATGAAAGCATTAAACATTTACAGCGAGGTAAGTGTGTGGAAATGTGTTCTTGTACCTCATTGTTCTGTACAGTATAACTCTAATTGAGCAATGTACAATACAGTGGACCCCCGGTTAACGATATTTTTTCACTCCAGAAGTATGTTCAGGTGCCAGTACTGACCGAATTTGTTCCCATAAGGAATATTGTGAAGTAGATTAGTCCATTTCAGACCCCCAAACATACACGTGCAAACGCACTTACATAAATACACTTACATAATTGGTCGCATTCGGAGGTGATCGTTATGCGGGGGTCCACTGTATATGTTATTTTCACAATAGTGTAAAATCTTTAAGTTTGCATTAGTTTTGAGGATTATAAAAATATATGAATTTTGACAAAAAGGATTAAACTCTCAATTTGACTTATAAAGTTTCATTGAGTTAATGACTGTGTGTATGTTAATAACATTTAACATATAATTAATATAATCCCTGTGGGATGTAAGGTAGTTTCTTTTAAATGATCATAGCTTACCTCTTGGAGCCATTTGGCATCTATGGCTTTCTTTCGCACTGTCTATATATAATTTTCAAGTGGATACCATACTACAGCTTCATATTTCAGTTTTAATATATGCTGTGTATAAAGTTTATAGAATGTCATACATTTATTGTAAGGCTGTTTTGGGTTTACCAGTATAGCTTATTAACATCTTGTTTCTGCATTTATTCGGTTTGGTAATACAGTGGACCCCCGGTTAACGATATTTTTTCATTCCAGAAGTATGTTCAGGTGCCAGTACTGACCGAATTTGTTCCCATAAGGAATATTGAGAAGTAGATTAGACCATTTCAGACCTCCAAACATACACGTACAAACGCACTTACATAATTACACTTACATAATTGGTCGCATTGGGAGGTGATCGTTATGCGGGGGTCCACTGTAATTTGTTTATACTTTCTCTTGACTCCCTTTCTCGTTCTCGTGTGTTCGGCTTTGCATCATATAGTCTGTATTCCTCATGAGGTTTATTTTTATGTACTCTTTATTTTCCTTGTTTCACATATCACTATTAATTCCACCATCCATTTTTCTCTCCACTTGTCTTTTAATATACAGTATCTGTTAATAGGTTAAGAGATCTTTGCTCAGCTTATCCAAGCCTTATTTCACATCTTTCTTCTTTCATTGTTCTTATCATTTCAGTATTTTCCCAATTTGCACACTTCCTGTTGTGGATTTTATTGTGCAAATTATCTTGAACATTTTGTGTGTAATTACTTACTTTTATTCACTATTTGTAGCTACAGGAACAGAGCTGTGCTTGTGGTGTCTCATCTTCAGTGAGTTAGTCATCATATAATTGATTTTTGCTGGGAGCAAGGGACTAGTAACCCCTTCACCTGTATACATTACTTAATTCAAAAAGAGAAACTTTTGTTTTTCCTTTTGGGCCACCCCGCCTCGGTGGGATAAGGCTGATGCACTGAAAGAAAGATGATAATTGATTTATAATTTTCAATTGTTGTAGCCCTTAATATCGTCTTCTTTCAACAAACCGGCCGTATCCCACCGAGGCAGGGTGGCCCAGAGGGGAAAACGAAAGTAGCACTTAATATATCCTCTTATAATTCATGCCATTGAAATGCCACACAGTGAAAAAAAAAAATCCTAGTATCATTCTGATTCCACTTTTCAAGAGGGTACATTTTACCAGTGAAGGGCTCCTGATCCAAGGAATGGAGGTACTCTTCTCTTCCTTAAATCAAACCTCATTAATCCCTTATCCCTCTTATTTTCCAAGTGCAGTTTGACCCTTTTAGGTTGGGCACTTCTTGAATATTATTATCTAGTTTATTACTGCAATAATTGCTTACATAACAGTTATCAGTATCTTTATAATGTAATCCTTTGGTAACTGCAGCACAAGATCTTGCTAAGGAACAGAAAGTTAATTACGGTGACGACATTGCCTGTATGATTAGAGTCGCTCGGAAAAGGCGCTTTAATATAGCCGAAGAAAAAAGAATTTCGCAAGAGATTGAACTGCAGGTATGACAATGGTTTATCCTGTAATTTTTGTTCTAATTTATTAAAGCAGTTTTTATATCCAGGATACATGCATTGACTGATTTATCTCTTGTTATGTAGAGTAATCCCGGTTGGGATATTTTGGTAACTATTTTAGAATCACTCTATGTATGGACTTAATTAAATCTTACTGTGCTTACGTATTTTTTTCAACACGTCAGCCGTTTCCCATTGGCTGGTTGTGAATTCAACTGTTTATTTTTTAAAACCCATTTTTTCCTGTATATGCTGTTATATATAGGTTTTGCACTTTCTTATGACTAGAATAATACAAGCTAGTGTGACACTATGGTAACCTTAAACTTGTTATACAAATTCAGTAATGATATGTTGGAGAGTTGGTTTAGTTATTCTTGTATTGTAATTTTTTTTTATCTTGGTCATTCAGTCAGTTATTTTTATATTATTTACCTATGGACATTTTAATTAATTTTCCACGTTACCTTAGGCCTTGCCTGAAACACTGATTATAACATGGGCTTGCTAATACAACCCCCCCCTTCCCCGAGCGATGTATTAATTTATTGACCACTCGTACTTACAGCCAGCTTTCCAACCAGTATGCAAACCTAAGTAATGTATATTAGAGCTGATTTCCTCTGTTCTCCTTATTACAATATACACTATACTACTGTATAAACATTTAAAAATATACTAGAGATGTTATAAATGGTGCAAATGTGACATTAAAAAAATATCTAAAGATGGTTGACACAAACCTACTACTAGTATAGTATGCTCCTCACTTAATGATTAATTCACTTACCGACCTACTCTTAGGAACGGAACCCCATTGTTAAGTGAGGAGAGGCTGTACTACACATTATGCACACCTGTGTATCACACCTGTGACTAATGCTTTTATGAATAAAGATTTGTACTGTTCTAGAGTGCATATTTGCATTTAAAATAAATTTCTTGAACTCTGGCATACTGATGCCTTAAAAATTGTGAACTACATAAAATAAATTTGTTGCAACCCATAAAGTGATGTTTTTTAAATATTTTAATTTGATATCATTATAGTTTTGATGAATACCTCAAAATTTATTCATATAAAAGATGGAAGGGATGAAGTGAGAAAGAGATAGATGGATGCATGGATATTGGTAGGAAAGAAGGTATGAAGTCAGAAAAATTACTGAAGGAGGGAAGTAGAGAATAAGGACTAATGAATGAATATGGATGGTTGATTTAATGATTACACCGAGGGTGGGTTGAGCGGAGGCAGTCTTGGCCTGTACATCTTCAAGGCCGCTGCTGCGGGTGCTTGCATAACATGGCTGATAACGACACATTTGTTTCTAAGTGAGCGTGACTTTGTAAATCAAAAAATAACAACTCAAAATGTTTATTTCCTTGTTTTATTTCCTTGTAGAGTTTACAATGTGTGGTTTACATGTTATAAAATATTAATTACAAAGACGGCCACTAGCATGCCTAGGCATTTTGGGCAGACTAATACTAATTCTTGCTCAATATTAATATAGGTTATGGAGCAGTACATTTGACCATACATTATTAGATACATACATAATTAGATACATACCTAATTAGGTACATACCTAATTAGGTACATACATAATTAGATTTAAAATAGTTAGGTAGTACAAATCATAGAATAATATTACAAATGGTAGATTTAGTGATGGGATTGGATTTGTCTTGGCATGAAATGGTCAAAGACAGATCGAAACATCGTCGTAAGCTCCTCTCTCCTATGTGTGGGTTATTTGTGTTTTGTTCCAGTCACGGTATTGTGCCTCTTTGTCCATTATGGCTTTTGTTGGGGTTACAAGAATTGTCAATTCCTTGTAAGGTACCAACAACACATTAAACTGATTCTTCTAAATTACGTTTTTTGTTTGTTTTTCAGACATACATGAACCGATTAATTTTGGAGGATCGTGATCGTCAAATTGATGAAGTACGACAGAAGTATGAAAATGACGACGAGAGCTCTCAAGAGGAAGTGATGAGGATAGAGGAGCAAACTGTGAGTGGAATATGATGTGTATTATTTATATTACACTAACAGCTGGGATTGTGCCAGTCATGGAAACACTAGTTATATAACTGTATGTTGATCCTTAGTAAAGTATATAATTACTAGCATGTGATAAAACAAGTGTTGTTATGGGAATACCTGAAGGTGTGTGATAATGCCGAACTCTCTTGTGTTTTTTAAGGAATATCAGCGTTTGACGCAAATATTTCACATTTTAGGAGCAAGGGGCTAGTAACCCCTTCTCCTGTATAAATTACTAAATGTAAATTATTGTTACAATCAAAACCAAGAGCTAAACCCACAAGGGTCATACAGCATACTAAACATAAAAAGAAGAAAAACTTTCGTTTCTTTTATTTTTCAGGTTGCCCTGCCTCGGTGGGAGACGGCTGGTCTGCTAAAAAAAAAACATTGCACTTTGGCTGGAACTATGCGAGTACAGTAGTTTTAAAGGGTTTAGCCAAATTATATTATGCTAATTTTAGTGAAGATATACAGTGGTACCCTGAGTTTCGGCCATAATTCGTTCCAGAAGGCTGTTCGAGTGCCGTTACCGAACGAATTTGTTCCCATAAGGAATAATGTAAATTAGATTAGTCTGTTTCAGACCCCCAAAAATACACTTACAAAAGCACTTACAATAATACACTTACATAATTGTTCAAGTTGGGAGCTGTATGAAACTCTGGTACCACTGTATAAGAAATTGCTCTTACAAGGGGATGCCATAAGGCTGATGAGTGGTTCCTGATGCAGAGAATTTGAGCTACCTCCTCTCTTTCCTTGGATCAAACCAGCTTGCCTCCCATTTCCTAAATACTATATGACCCCGTACTGATTTAACACCCCATGAGCATAATTTTTTTTTTAAATACACCGGCCGTCTCCTACCAAGGCAGAGTGAACCGAGAAAGAAGCAAAGAAGTAAAATACATGAGCATAATAATAGTAGGTATTGTATACCTGTATTTGTGTATGTACACAGTTGTATTAACACTGACTTACCTTGCTTCTAGGATAACTACATTACCGAGATCAATACCATGTTTGCTCGTCTCGACGAGAGAAGAAGAGTAAGTAATGTTTCCAATTTTTTTTGTCATTTTGATTTAATTTGAAATTTTGAGGAAAACATTCAGTGTTATGTTCTTTGATATTATAGAATAAGTTACATGTAACGAGGTGCTGAATTTTTTCACTCACTGCTGCCTCCTACTCCATGAAATGACTGACAGGTTATGTTCCGTGGTTATTTTTATCAGATTAAGCAATCCAGCGCAAATATTTTTCCTGGAGGATCATCTTTTGGATGGGGACTAGTGTGGAGCGAGCGTTCGTTGCGACACCATTTTTGTCCTATGCAGAATGAAACGCTGCCTCAATAAATGTTCGTTTTGTACCTCCCTCTCTCTTCTGTAACCAGTTCTTGCTTATTTGAGTCACACCTTAATAGACTAAGCCTTGGTAAAGGGGTAGTTGTAATGGCAGATGGTGCAGGAATACCAGCAAATTGTAGTTTATAAAGAGACAAGCAGTAATGGGGAACTTTATTACCAACAAATTGCAGTTTAAAAACTGTAGTGTAAAGCACCCTTCTGGCAAGACTGATGGAGTGAATGATGGTGAAAGTTTTTCTTTTTCAGGCCACTCTGCCTTGGTGGGAATAGGTCAGTGTGTTAATAAAATAAAATAAAAAAAGAGAGATAAGCAATAATTGGGAACTTTATTAACATTTCCAATTATTTATTGCTTATATGTCATTGCCAATTACAAAGGTGAAATTGCCTGCCCAGCAATACAGGGACAACATATCTGTCAACAACAGTTCTCCAGTTCCAAGGCTTTTGTGATGAGTTTTTCGTTTTTATAATGATGTTAGTACTACTTACAGGTATCAACTGCTTTTATATAATAATCATATTAAAAAGTATCTTACCAGATACTTAATGACTCACATGGGTCTACTGGCCCATACAAGGCAGGTCCTTCTCAAAACCAACCATTCCCACAGCTGGGTGAGATATAGGTTGGTGACATCCCTCTGATGTATTTAAATTAGTTTAAGTTTTTGTATTCTCGCTTTCTGAACTTTCCTAATGGCTGCCTGATTATTGAGGTAATTGCTAATTGCAACCAGTAGTCTCGCAAATCCATCACAGCCTGTAGGCCCACAAAGCCATCACAGCCTGTAGGCCCACAAAGCCATCACAGCCTGTAGGCCCACAAAGCCATCACAGCCTGTAGGCCCACAAAGCCATCACAGCCTGTAGGCCCACAAAGCCATCACAGCCTGTAGGCCCACAAAGCCATCACAGCCTGTAGGCCATCAAAGCCATCACAACCTGTAGGCCCACAAAGCCATCACAGCCTGTAGATCTACAAAGCCATCACAGCCTGTAGGCCCACAAAGCCATCACAAACCTGTAGGCCATCAAAGCCATCACAACCTGTAGGCCCACAAAGCCATCACAGCCTGTAGATCTACAAAACCATCACAGCCTGTAGGCCCACAAAGCCATCACAACCTGTAGGCCATCAAAGCCATCACAACCTGTAGGCCCACAAAGCCATCACAGCCTGTAGATCTACAAAACCATCACAGCCTGTAGGCCCACAAAGCCATCACAACCTGTAGGCCATCAAAGCCATCACAACCTGTAGGCCCACAAAGCCATCACAGCCTGTAGATCTACAAAGCCATCACAACTGGGTTGATAGAACACCTCTAGCAAAAACCAATATACAGTGGACCCCCGCTTAACGATCACCTCCAAATTCGACCAATTATGTAAGTGTATTTATGTAAGTGCGTTTGTACGTGTATGTTTGGGGGTCTGAAATGGACTAATCTACGTCACAATATTCCTTATGGGAAAAAAGTCGGTCAGTACTGGCACCTGAACATACTACTGGAATGAAAAAAGTTCGTTAACCGGGGGTCCACTGTAGTTTCCAAGATTTTCAACCTCTCTTTTAGAAGTGCTTTCGATACATTTACTCTTAGAAGTGTGAAATGATGTAACTCAGATTTTAATAATGTATTCCTTTTTCTTATGGCACAGTCTATCTTACTCTGGTAAATGTGTTTTTGTGTATAGATTACAGGTATGATCTTTGAGTGTATTCCATGTACAGTACATAAGATTAATTGATATCTCTGTTCGTGTGTGCAAGAATACATTCTCTAAGGTAGCTGCAGTAGATTAGATAAGCTGACGAATCTCAGTTTATTCCATAAATAACATGTTATGATGTTTATTCCATGAATAACTTATGATGTTTATTCCATAAATAACATGTTATGATGTTTATTCCATAAATAACATGTTATGATGTTTATTCCATAAATAACATGTTATGATGTTTATTCCATAATAAACTTATGATGTTTATTCCATAAATAACATTTTTTGATGTTTATTCCATGAATAACTTATGATGTTTATTCCATAAATAACATGTTATGATGTTTATTCCATGAATAACTTATGATGTTTATTCCATAAATAACATGTTATGATGTTTATTCCATAAATAACTTATGATGTTTATTCCATAAATAACATGTTATGATGTTTATTCCATGAATAACTTATGATGTTTATTCCATAAATAACATGTTATGATGTTTATTCCATAAATAACATGACATTATTTCCAGATAAGTCAGTAAGTTCCAGATAAGTAAGTAAGATAAGTGTTGCTATTTATTATATGTGTGTGTTATGTTCTGCTGCCTGTTATCTTTGTATGGGCCTTGCAGCTGAATGTTGTTACTATATGTATCATCCATGATACATGAAATGATAACTCCCAAAGCTGCAACTCAAATTATGTATGTCGTTTTAACCTGCAGAAACGAGAAGTACCTGACTATTTATGTGGCAAAATCAGCTTTGAGATACTGCGAGAGCCTGTCGTTACCCCCAGCGGAATCACATATGATCGAAGGGACATTGAGGAACACTTACAGGTATACCATCAAATGAAAGTGTATTTTATTCAATAGACTGCATAGCTTATAATTACCTTTTCTGTAACCACTGCAGCAAAAAAAAAAAAAAATAGAATCGGTGACTATGAGACAGAGAGGAGTATAAAATAAATAGAATCAGTAACTATGAGAGAAAGGAGTACAGTGGACCCCCGGTTAACGATATTTTTTCAATCCAGAAGTATGTTCAGGTGCCAGTACTGACCGAATTTGTTCCCATAAGGAATATTGTGAAGTAGATTAGTCCATTTCAGACCCCCAAACATTCACGTACAAACGCACTTACATAAATACACTTACATAATTGGTCGCATTCGGAGGTGATCGTTATGCGGGGGTCCACTGTATATTGTATGTAGACTTTTGAGTATTGTTTTGTAATGTAAATCTCCTTCTTTCTTTCAACAAGCTGGCCGTATCCCACCGAGGCAGGGTGGCCCAAAAAGAAAAACAAAAGTTTCTCTTTTCAAATTTAGTAATTTATACAGGAGAAGGGGTTACTAGCCCCTTGCTCCCGGCATTTTAGTCGCCTCTTACAACACGCATGGCTTACGGAGGAAGAATTCTGTTCCACTTCCCCATGGAGATAAGAGGAAATAAACAAGAACAAGAACTAGAAAGAAAATAGAAGAAAACCCAGAGGGGTATGTATATATATGCTTGTACATGTATTTTTTTTTTTTTTTTTTTTCAACAAGTCGGCCGTCTCCCACCGAGGCAGGGTGACCCAAAAAAAAAAAAGAAAATCCCCAAAAAGAAAATACTTTCATCATCATTCAACACTTTCACCACACTCACACATTATCACTGCTTTTGCAGAAGTGCTCAGAATACAACAGTTTAGAAGCATATACGTATAGAGATACACAACATATCCCTCCAAACTGCCAATATCCCAAACCCCACCTTTAAAGTGCAGGCATTGTACTTCCCATTTCCAGGACTCAAGTCCGACTATATGAAAATAACCGGTTTCCCTGAATCCCTTCACTAAATATTACCCTGCTCACACTCCAACAGATCGTCAGGTCCCAAGTATCATTCGTCTCTATTCACTCCTATCTAACACGCTCATGCATGCTTGCTGGAAGTCCAAGCCCCTCACCCACAAAACCTCCTTTACCCCCTCTTTCCAACCCTTTAGAGGACGACCCCTACCCCTCTTTCCTTCCCCTATAGATTTATATGCTTTCCATGTCATTCTACTTTGATCCATTTCTCTCTAAATGACCAAACCACCTCAACAACCCCTCTTCTGCCTCTGACTAATGCTTTTATTAACTCCACACCTTCTCCTAATTTCCACACTCCGAATTTTCTGCATAATATTTACACCACACATTGCCCTTAGACAGGACATCTCCACTGCCTCCAACCGTCTCCTCGCTGCTGCATTTACCACCCAAGCTTCACATCCATATAAGAGTGTTGGTACTACTATACTTTCATACATTCCCTTCTTTGCCTCCATAGATAACGTTTTTTGACTCCACATATACCTCAACGCACCACTCACCTTTTTTCCCTCATCAATTCTATGATTAACCTCATCCTTCATAAATCCATCCGCCGACACGTCAACTCCCAAGTATCTGAAAACATTCACTTCTTCCATACTCCTCCTCCCCAATTTGATATCCAATTTTTCTTTATCTAAATCATTTGATACCCTCATCACCTTACTCTTTTCTATGTTCACTTTCAACTTTCTACCTTTACACACATTCTCAAACTCATCCACTAACCTTTGCAATTTTTCTTTAGAATCTCCCATAAGCACAGTATCATCAGCAAAAAGTAACTGTGTCAATTCCCATTTTGAATTTGATTCCCCATAATTTAATCCCACCCCTCTCCCGAACAACCCTAGCATTTACTTCTTTACAACCCCATCTATAAATATATTAAACAACCATGGTGACATTACACATCCCTGTCTAAGACCTACTTTTACCGGGAAGTATTCACCCTCTCTTCTACACACCCTAACCTGAGCCTCACTATCCTCATAAAAGCTCTTTACAGCATTTAGTAACTTACCACCTATTCCATATACTTGCAACATCTGCCACATTGCTCCTCTATCCATTCTATCATATGCCTTTTCTAAATCCATAAATGCAATAAAAACTTCCCTACATGTATGTATGTACATGTATGTACTCACCTATTTGTGGTTGCAGGGGTCGAGCCTTAGCTCCTGGCCCATCCTCTTCACCAGTTGCTACTGGGCCCTCTCTCTCCCCTCTCCATGAGCTTTATCAAACCTCGTCTTAAAACTATGTATGGTTCCTGCCTCCGCTACGTCACTTTCTAGGCTATTCCACTGCCTGACAACTCTATGACTGAAGAAATACTTCCTAAGATCTCTCTGACTCAACTGTGTCTTCAACTTCCAATTGTGACCTCTTGTTTCTGTGTCCCCTCCCTGGAACATCCTGTCTTTGTCCACCTTGTCTATTCCAAGTAGTATTTTATATGTCGTTATCATGTCTCCCCTGACCCTCCTGTCCTCCAGTGTCGTCAGGCCGATTTCCCTTAACCTTTCTTCATAGGACATTCCCCTTAGCTCTGGAACTAACCTTGTCGCAAACCTTTGCACTTTCTCTAGTTTCTTGACGTGCTTTATCAAGTGCGGGTTCCAAACAGGTGCAGTGTGACCTAAGTGTAAGTAGAAGTAGGAAGACATACCTGAAATCTTGTATGTTTAAGAGACAGAAAAAAAGACACCAACAATCCTACCATCATGTAAAACAATTACAGGATTCCGTTTTACACTCACTTGGCAGGACGGTAGTACCTCCCTGGGCGGTTGCTGTCTACCAGCCTACTACCTACTAAAATTTTTAATTATGATAAAAAAAAAATTGCACCTCTGATTTTTTCATGCAAAGAAGCAACAACAATTTTTTTTATTAACACATCGGCTATTTCCCACCAAGGCAGGGTGACCTGAAAAAGAAGAAACACTTTCATCATCACTCACTCCATCACTGTGACTTACAGAGTGTATTTTGTTTTTCAGCGTGTTGGCCACTTCGACCCCATTACAAGGACTGACCTCACAGTAGACCAGCTAATTCCAAACTTGGCCATGAAGGAGGTGGTGGACTCATTTCTTACAGAGAATGAGTGGGCTCTCGACTACTAGCCTTAACCAGATTTGTAGGCTTAGAAAATATTTTTACTCAATCTGCTACCGGCCATACTTTATTTTTAGTGGTAAAGATCAGATACGGTATAACCTATGTAGGATGTTCTAAACTCGCACTAGAGTAGAAAGCTCGTAAAATACACCAGCTTGAATTAGAGCTAACTGTAAGGGTTAACTTTGGTAGGAGATTAAGCTTCCATTCGTCAGTGCAAGGCTAAGCTAGCATTTTAACTCACTCCAGGCACATAAATTATAGATTGGTAGACAAAAATTCATCTAAGATCTCATTAACATGTTAGGAGTATTGGAAATTCTAGTGCTAGTGCTATATTAAGTTCTACTTGTATATCGGTGCAAATTAATGTAAATTACAGTACTTTGGCTGAAACAGTTTTTCAGTCTATCATGGACATACAGATTAAATTAATGAAACCCAAGTATCACCCACTCAGTGGCCAAGACTTGGGGAGAATTTTTGTGACCCACCCACTAAAAGCAGGGTTTGAATTCAGGTAATTTCAACACACTAATAGCCAGTAAGGTGTTTCTTGGGTTTATATCTTGGTCTCTTATGTAGATAAGGAGGAGATTTGCAAATTGCTGTTTTTGTATTTGCACATAAAATAACTTGGTCCTCTTTTTGTATTCCTCTGCATTCTATCAAGGATAGTTTAAGTACAATACTTAATGCATATACATCTATAGTTATTTTTTATTAATTCATTAGTGGGATGGCCTTAAATCAGCTAGTTTAATACATGAATTTAGTACAGTATATTACTGAGATCACATCCTATTGAATATATTTTTAAGTTTCTAAGACTTTCTCATGCTACATATGGTATTTGATCTTTTCCTGAGTGTGCAGTTTGTGGCAATTCTTTGTAGTATTATTATTTTTTTAACAAACCGGCCGTATCCCACCGAGGCAGGATGACCTAAAAAGAAAAACGAGTTTATTTAAATTTAGTAATATATACAGGAGAAGGGGTTTTATAGTATTATTATAATCATATTATCATCATCATAACTACGTGCTGAACCTGTAAGGTTAATTAGCTATGAACTAAACCTTTATTTTGTTTATTTATTGTGTTACTCTGGTTTTATTGGTAAGGCATTGTAAATACATTATCTTTAATAAAGGAAAAGTTCGTTGTTGTATTATGTTGAAGCTCATATGTAATTCTCAGATGGCTGTGGAAGCTTGACCAGGTTTATCCATGCTTTCAGAAGGCTTTCAGAAGGCTGTAATGATGATGGTAGAATCACCGACACTGTATTAGGCAAGAGGACACGTGCAGTTAATGAGATGTTGTATTACAGCTATATTTCGTTCTCCAGGAGCTTTGTCAAGTCGACATAAAGGGTATATATAGGTAATATGGTGAGGCGACAGAGGAATGCAAGCACTGCAGGCCTACTAGCTTAAACCAGTGGTGATAGTAATAGTTGTTACATGTACTACTACTACTATCACTACTAGCATGAGCTAGTAGGCTTCCTGCAGTACTTATATTCCTCTTTCACCTCACCTTGTTTCATATATCTAGCCTCTGTACTTGTACTGTTTATATTGGCTTGACAAAGTTCCTAGAGAGTAAAATGGAGCTACAATGCAATATCTCACTAGCTGCGCATGTTCTTTTCCCCCTAATATATATCAAAATATTGCCTGCAAGGATCAATAATGAGTGATATATCCCTACACATGGGATATAAGCTTTTATTTAACATAAGTTTTATATGCCACTATATTCTGTGTAAATAATAGTAAAGCTTTTGTACATAAACTTCTCCACTTTTCACTTATTAATTTGCAGTTGATTATATAACCAGAAAATTATGATTTTTTTCTAGCCAAGCAACTTATCAGGGACTTTTTTTGTCCAGATGTCAAAATTACACAGTGTACGATGCATTTAAATTAGATAATGTTATTGCTAAATGTTTGTTTCCATTCTTATCCTGCAGAACTGCATTATTAGAGCATTAAATAGCAAAAGTTTATCATCATTTAATGGTAGTTGTGGGTTATTCAAGCTCGATTCATTTATAATTGAAGCTATTGTGCACAGTCTAAAATGTGATTCTTGTATGAACGCCCTGGATTGTTTTAGTTGTTAGGGTTCCACGAATAGGAACCAGGTTACTCTTTCTGGTGGGGCACGACCTGTGTCTACCCACTAGGCGAGTTTGCCCTAGATTTCGTTTTCCTTCATGGTGGTGGAATTTTCCCTAAGACAAATGCCAGACACAGCTTTATTCAAAATACAAAATCCTTTATATTTGTAAAGTCCAACTGATAATCTTGATGACCATTATATTACCAATGCTAATTTTGCTAGTTAATCACTAAATTACCTTACTTAATCTCTCAGGCACTAGGCACAAGGACTATACAGCCTTTCAGAATGAATTTGCTAAGATTTCTTACTCATTTCTGCAACTTTGCAAGCTCCTGATGATGTGTTGATTACAAGACAAAAGGCCTAACACTCTTATTCAACATCATCCCCTTCCCCGAGTTGTTTTGCGTCCTGTGTTGCTTGTTCACAATTCTTGCATGTATACATTTTTTTTTCAACAAGTTGGCCATCTGCCCACCAAGGCAGGGTGACCCAAAAAAGAAAGAAAAACTTTCATCATTCATACATAATCACTGTCTTTGCAGAGGCGCTCAGATACAGAAGTTTAGATGTCACTCCGAACAGCCAGTATCCCAAAGCCCCCTTTAAAGTGCAGGCATCGTGCTTCCCACTTCCAGGACTCAAGTCCAGCTAACGGGTTTGATCCCTTGACAAACACTATATGTATATGTATGTCTGTCTTTCTTCTTTCAACAAACCGGCCGTATCCCACTAAAGCAGGGTGGCCCAAAAAGAAAAACAAAAGTTTCTCTTTTTAACTTTAGTAATGTATACAGGAGAAGGGGTTACTAGCCCAATATGTATACATATATGTATATATATGTTGTATGTTCTTTCTTTCTTTCAACACACCGGCCGTATCCCACCAAGGCGGGGTGGCCCAAAAGGAAAAACGAAAGTTTCTCCTTTTACATTTAGTAATATATACAGGAGAAGAGGTTACTAGCCCCTTGCTCCTGGCATTTTAGTTGCCTCCTACAACACGCATGGCTTATGGAGGAAGAATTCTGTTCCACTTCCCCATGGAGGTAAGAGAAAATAAACAACAAGAACAAGAACTAGTAAGAAAATATTAGAAAACCCAGAGGAGTGTGTATATATATGCTTGTACATGTATGTGTAGTGTGACCTAAGTGTAAGTAGAAGTAGCAAGACGTACCTGAAATCTTGCATGTTTATGAGACAGAAAAATGGACACCAGCAATCCTACCATCATGTAAAACAATTACAGGCTTCCGTTTTACACTCGCTTGGCAGGACAGTAGTACCTCCCTGGGCGGTTGCTGTCTACCAACCTACTACCTATAATGTTGTATGTATATGTATATATATATATATATATATATATATATATATATATATATATTATATATATATATATATATATATATATATATATATATATATATATTATGTATATATATTTATTTATTTATTTATTTATTTATTTATTTATTTTCATATAGTCGGACTTGAGTCCTGGAAATGGGAAGTACAATGCCTGCACTTTAAAAGGGGGGGTTTGGGATATTGGCAGTTTGGAGGGATATTTGTGTACTTTACGTATATGCTTCTAAACTGTTGTATTCTGAGCACCTCTGCAAAAACAGTGATAATGTGCGAGTGTGGTGAAAGTGTTGAATGAGTGATGAAAGTATTTTCTTTTTGGGGATTTTCTTTCTTTTTTGGGTCAAACTGCCTCGGTGGGAGACGGCGACTTGTTGAAAAAAAAAAAATTATATATATATTTATATATATATATTATATATATATATGATATATATATATAATAATATATATCTATATATATAATATACATATTTTTTTTTTTAACAAGTCGGCTGTCTCCCACCGAGGCAGGGTGACCCAAAAACAAAGAAAATCCCCAAAAAGAAAACACTTTCATCATCATTCAACACTTTCACCACCTCACACATAATCACTGTTTTTGCAGATGTGCTCAGAATACAACAGTTTAGAAGCATATACGTATAAAGATACACAACGTATCCCTCCAAACTGCCAATATCCCAAACCCCTCCTTTAAAGTGCAGACATTGTACTTCCCATTTCCAGGACTCAAGTCCAGCTATATAAAAATAACCGGTTTTCCTGAATCCCTTCACTAAATATTACCCTGCTCACACTCCAACAGCTCATCAAGTCCCAAATACCATTCGTCTCCATTCACTCCAATCTAACACGCTCACGCACGCTTGCTGGAAGTCCAAGCCCCTCGCCCACAAAACCTCCTTTAGTCCCTCCCTTCAACCTTTTTGAGGATGACCCTACCCCGCCTTCCTTCCCCCACAGACTTATACGCTCTCCATGTCATTCTACTTTGATCCATTCTCTCTAAATGACCAAATGCACATGTGTGCGCACACACACACACACACACACACACACACACACACACACACACACACACACACACACACACACACACACTCACACACTCACTCACTCACTCACTCACTCACTCACATTTGCATACAGTTATGATAGATGGCAACAATCCAAAAAAGACTTTTACAAACTTAATTTTGGAAATGGATGTAATGCAACATCATATGTGCACTGAGAGTTGCTGGATCTCTTCTGGCTTTTAACAAGCTTTGCAACCTCACTAACAGCAGCAGCATGGGGTCACGTGCTGCACATGCGGACCAAGGCTTACACGAGTGTCTAGAAGCAGTTCCAGCAGGTTGTGGCTGAGCTTGGCAGATGTGATAAAGATGAGTCTTAAATCTTGAAGATGTTGATACAGGTCGAAGGTGAATGTTGCTCATGTGGTAGGGTGCTAGGGTGCAACAACATAAAGTTGATACCATGAGTCTTGAAGGACTTCAAGACCATGCAAGAACTGCACCTCAGATGCTGCAGATGCAGGTCCAGGGAAACATGAAAGTCCCAAAGACAGGTTGCTGGAACAAGGTTGCTGTTCTTCAGAGACACACAGATGAGAAGGGGTTCAGAGAGAGACACCAAGAAGGTTCTTGGAGGGGGCAGTCAAAGAGCAAGTCACTGAACCTTCCAGTAGATGGTGTTGTAACCAGAACATCTCTCCATGTGCAACCTCTGTAGGATGCTGTTCTTCATAGACACAGATGAGTAGGGGCTCAGAGAGAGGGCAAGAAGGTTCATGGAAGGGGAGGACAAAGAGCAAGTCACTGAACCTCCCTGTATATGGTGTTGTAACCGGACCATCTCTCTACGCGCAACCTCTGTAGGACGTCCACTGCTATGTTCTCGTCACTGGGGTCGTGGATAGCAACCTGGAACAGGAAGACAAGCTTAAAAAAACCCACTGAAAAGGGAGTGGAGTGAAGCCAGTGGTAAAACCTGCCCTAAACCCAGCAGGTCAGTGTATAGGACACTGGCATGCCAGGAAACAACTCGCCAAATGGAACCCCTCCCTACGGCAAGTTGTTTACCATCATGTCCTCACGAAAATAACCCGCACATAGGAGAAAGAAACTTACGACAACGTTTCGGTCCGACTTTGATCATTAACTAGTTACACAGTTGGACCGAAACGTCGTCATGTTTCTTTCTCCTATGTGCTAGTTATATGTGTACTGTTTCAGTCACTTGTTTTTTCATCTTTACCTTAAGGGGCGAGCAAGTTTCTTCTATTAACATGTTCATTTTTCCACTATAATCTACGTTGTCCATAATTACTATCGCATTTGCTTTGTCTGTTTTGTTAGGTGAAGTCCAGGATCTTTCCTTAATTCATGGTATAACTTAACAAATCTTTGAAGATAATAGTGTTGTAGAGGTCTGAGCTGTACTCAGACCTCTAGAACACTATTGTAATTATGGATAACGTAGATTATAGTGGAAAAATAAACGTGTTATTAGAAGATGGGGGAACTTGTGTGCCTCTTAAGACTTTCACTAGCCAGATGCACGTAACCAGTGATAAACAAAGGCTGATAACAGACTTATAATATCATGATAAATAAAGTTTTTTCCTCAAAGATTGTTGTTGTAAGGTGTTTTTATGGACACTTGCTGAAACAAGTGTCGCTGGACACTTGTTAATGAAATACGTGTTAGTGGACACGTGTCACCCTGCAGGTCGCCCTGTTGTTCTCCACGACAGTGACACATCACATGTTTATTCTCACTAATGCCTGCAGTACCTTCCCAACACCTCACCTTCGTCAGCAAGGAGCTGCAACACCCGCAACACCTAACACCTAACCTTGGTCAGCAGAATGTAGCAGAAGCCAGCAGGCTCCTCGTAGGGCGCCACCTTGACCAGAAACCTGATCTCCAGGCACTGCAGACCCGCCATCACCACCTCCTGCAGGAAGGCCCTCGCTCCTGTCCACTGCTGCAGGAGGAACAAAGGAAGGCAGTACTCAGTACCCTCAGGGGTACTGCCCCTAGTGTGGGCACTAGGGGCAGGGAAACTGGGGAAAATAAATTCCCTACCGTAAGGAAATCTTTCATTCGTTTGCAGATGGAGGATCAAATCTGTGCTACCACTCCTTGAGTTGAATGATCCACACAGGTTTAGCACTTTTTCTAATAAGCATAATGATGATTATAATTAATAATAATAATAGTAATACTACTACTGCTAGTAGTAGTAGTCGTAATAGAATTATTATTAGTACTACTGCTACTACTGCTAGTATTATTTCTACTGGTAGTAATAGAACTAGTACTAGTGCTACTACTACTAATACAACTACTACTACTTATATAATACTAGTAGTACCTTCCACTCCTTAACTAGCTTGGTGTTAGGCGAGGGTTCAAGACTCTTGAAGGCAGAGACTGCTAGTACAGAGTTAGTGACCTCCAGATCCTCCACGGCAGGTCTGACACACGCTACTTCCTCAAACATACCTGCAACGGTAGGACAGGTGTTACCACCAGGTAGATGACAGGTGTTACCACCAGGTAGATGACAGGTGTTACCACCACTCAGAGGAGAGATACTGGGACATAGATGAGCCATAAGGATGTCAGGAAGTATTTCTTCAGCCTGAGGGTGATCAGGAAGTGGAATGACCTGGAAGAAGTGGCAGAGGCAGGCTTCACCATGCAGAGTTTGAAGAAAAGGTACAACAGGTATGACACGTGAATCGACCCCTGCAATCACAAATAGGTGAGTATATACACACACACACACAAGTGTATAATTGATAACCAGCACGGTTTCAGGGAAGGAAAATCCTGTGTCACAAACCTACTGGAGTTTTATGACAAGGTGACAGAAGTAAGACGAGAGAGAGGGGTGGATCGAATGCATTTTTTTGGACTGCAAGAAGGCCTTTGACACAGTTCCTCACAAGAGGTTTCTGCAAAAGCTAGAGGATCAGGCACACACAGCAGGAAAGGCACTGCAATGGATCAGGGAATACCTGACAGGGAGGCAACAACGAGTCATGGTATGTGACAAGGTGTCCGAGTGGGCGCCTGTGACAAGCTGGGTTCCACAGGGGGTCAGTCCTAGGACCTGTGCTGTTCTTGGTATATGTGAACGACATAACGGAAGGGATAGACTCAGAAGTGTCCTTGTTTGCAGATGATGTGAAGTTAATGAGAAGAATCAAATCGGATGAGGTTCAGGCAGGACTACAAAGAGACCTGGACAGGCTACAAGCCTGGTCCAGCAACTGGCTCCTTGAGTTTAACCCTGCCAAATGCAAAGTCATGAAGATTGGGGAAGGGCAAAGAAGACCGCAGACACAATATAGTTTAGATGGCCAAAGACTGCAAACCTCACTCAAGGAAAAAGATCTGGGGGTGAGTATAACACCGAACATATCTCCTGAGGTGCACATCAATAAGATAACTGCTGCAGGATACAGGCGCCTGACAAACCTACGGATAGCGTTCCGATACCTCAGTAAGGATTCGTTCAAACCTCTGTATACCATTTACGTCAGGCCCATACTGGAGTATGCAGCACCAGTTTGGAATCCACACCTAGTCAAGCACGTCAAGAAATTAGAGAAAGTGCAAAGGTTTGCAACAAGACTAGTCCCAGAGCTAAGGGGAGTGTCCTACAAAGAAAGGTTGAGGGAAATCGGCCTGACGACACTGGAGGACAGGAGGGTCAGGGGAGACATGATAACGACATATAAAATACTGTGCGGAATAGACAAGGTGGACAAAGACGGGATGTTCCAGAGATGGGACACAGACACAAGCGGTTACAATTGGAAGTTGAAGACTCAGATGAATCAAAGGGATGTTAGGAAGTATTTCTTCAGTCATAGAGTAGTCAGGCCGTGGAATAGCCTAGAAAGTGAAGTAGTGGAGGCGGGAACCATACATAGTTTTAAGGCGAGGTATGATAAAGCTCATGGAGCAGGGAGAGAGAGGACCTAGTAGCAATCAGTGAAGAGGCGGGGCCAGGAGCTATGAATCAACCCCTGCAACCACAAATAGGTGAGTACACACACACACACACACACACACACACACACACACACACATGTGAACGACATGATGGAAGGGTTAGACTCAGAAGTGTCCCTGTTTGCAGATGATGTGAAGTTAATGAGGAGAATTAAATCTGATGAGGACCAGGCAGGACTTCAAAGAGACCTGGACAGACTGGACACCTGGTCCAGCAAATTGCTTCTCGAATTTAGCCCCTCAAGGAAGGTTCCTTGATGTTGGTGAGGGGCTCTTGATTTAGGGAATTGGATCTGTGCTCCAGTTCCCCGAATTAAGCCTGAATGCCTTCCACATCCCCCCCCCCAGGCGCTGTATAATCCTCCGGGTTTAGCGCTTCCCCCTTGATTATAATAATAATAATTCTCGAACTTAATCCTGCCAAATGCAAAGTCATGAAGATAGGGGAAGGGCACAGAAGACCACAGACAGAGTATAGGCTAGGTGGCCAAAGACTGCAAACCTCACTCAAGGAGAAAGATCTTGGGGTGAGTATAACACCGAGCATGTCTCCGGAAGCACACATCAATCAGATAACTGCTGCAGCATATGGGCGCCTGGCAAACCTGAGAACAGCATTCCGATACCTTAGTAAGGAATCATTCAAGACACTGTACACCGTGTATGTCAGGCCCATACTGGAGTATGCAGCACCTGTTTGGAACCCGCACTTGATAAAGCACGTCAAGAAACTAGAGAAAGTACAAAGGTTTGCGACAAGGTTAGTTCCAGAGCTAAGGGGAATGTCCTATGAAGAAAGATTAAGGGAAATCGGCCTGACGACACTGGAGGACAGGAGGGTCAGGGGAGACATGATAACGACATATAAATACTGCGTGGAATAGACAAGGTGGACAAAGACAGGATGTTCCAGGGAGGGGACACAGAAACAAGAGGCCACAATTGGAAGTTGAAGACACAAATGAGTCAGAGAGATATTAGGAAGTATTTCTTCAGTCATAGAGTTGTAAGGCAGTGGAATAGCCTAGAAAATGACGTAGTGGAGGCAGGAACCATACACAGTTTTAAGACGAGGTTTGATAAAGCTCATGGAGCGGGGAGAGAGAGGGCCCAGTAGCAACCGGTGAAGAGGCGGGGCCAGGAGCTAAGACTCGACCCCTGCAACCACAAATAGGTGAGTACAAATAGGTGAGTACACACACACACACACACAGCTGGTGTCACATCAGAGCTGCTGTCAACTTCCTGGAATAAAAAAAAAGCAAGCTTGTAGCACTCACCCTGGTCGACCATGTTCTCAGGGCCCAGAGCTAGAGCATCCAGATACGAGTGAATTTTGAGGAACTTGCTAATGGTGACTGACTCCTCCGTCAGGTGAAGCAGTGGGTAAAGACCTGTAGAAGAGAGCAGAGGAGAAAGTTAGTGTAGAAGAGAAAACGTCTATGATTATTTATAATTAAGGTAACGTTAATGTCCATTTTCTGTGTTCAATTTTCCTTGGCTTCATGACCTTTATGCATTCAATAGGCCTTAGGCCTATTAAAGCATTCTGCTTTACCTTTCTAGCCTCAGACACCTGGATAACATACTACGATAGTCTTCAGTCTATAGTAGCAGATAGTGCTTCACAGGAGATACCCTGGGTGTGGTGTGGACTCCCGAAGTGGGCTCCACCACTTACCTCCCTTCTGGAAGGTGTCGAAGTTTTCGCAGATGGTGTAGAGTGCACCACCTGAGGGCAAGATGGTTCTGCTGGTCTTCACGAGTTCCTTGAGGGCTTTCTTGACGTGGGTGACACCCTCGGTGCGTCCCACCCACGTCACCAACACCTTCTGCCGATCGTCGTCCATATTCACCCCTGGAAAACGACAATCATTGCCCATCACGACCCTACTAAACGACAATTATTGCCTGTCATGGCCCTAGTAAACGACAATCATTGCCCATCACGACCCTACTAAACGACAATTATTGCCTGTCATGGCCCTAGTAAACGACAATCATTGCCCATCACGACCCTACTAAACGACAATTATTGCCTGTCATGGCCCTAGTAAACGAAATCATTGCCCACCACGACCCTATTAATTGCAGACTAAATCCTGTCACCTGACAAGTGTGTCTGGACTGACCGAAGCGTCGTTCATGGAATGTTTGTGAATTGTGAATGAAAGCCTCTTGATGTTTCGCTCCTTCCTGGATTGTTATTAGCCCTTGAGGGCAATGATCCCTCAAGGGAGGTCCCTTGATGCTGTTGAGGGGTCTCTTGATCTAGGGAATTGGATCTGTGCTCCGGTTCCCTGAATACCTTCCACCCCCCCCCCACATGCGCTGTATAATCCTACGGGTTTAACGCTTCCCCTTGATTATAATAATAATAATAATCTTTGTGCATGAATTGTGAATTACCGTGAATCGCTAAGTGCTCATGTTGCAGAAGCGAAGTGTTCATGTTGCAGTGGCATACTGATCGTCCTGCACATCTATAATAAAGATGAAGACGTTTCGCCCCATCTACCGACAGACTACGTGCAACACAAGACTCGTATCCTGATTTTCAACCTTCGTTGCCTATCAGGGAAGGACTGTCTCTACCTGATCGTCACAACGTGTTTACAACAGAAGTAGTTTAACTGTTAGTGCTCTCTCTCTCTCTCTCTCTCTCTCTCTCTCTCTCTCTCTCTCTCTCTCTCTCTCTCTCTCTCTCTCTCTCTCTCTCTCTCTCTCTCTCTCTCTCTCTCTCGTTTTATTTTGTGTGATTTGGAGAGTGAGTCACTAGTACAGTTTATCATTCTACTGTGTTAGCGGATCTATGGTTAGCAGACAGGATGGTGTGTGAACCACACGAGTGTTCTGTCTGCTCCACATTGCTCCAGTAGACTCTGCAAGGACGTTGAGGACATTATCAAACGTCGCAGAATTGACAGAATAACATTCTACTTGGAGTAGTGTCTGACCAAGACACGGGAGTGTAATCTGCTGAGAGAGAGAGAGAGAGAGAGAGAGAGAGAGAGAGAGAGAGAGAGAGACAGAGACAGAGAGAGTCAACTTCCTATAAATACCTATCGCGTTTTTATTTCAAAAATACTAGGAGTCAAGCGATGTTTTGTAAATACTGAAAAGACTACTACGTAATGTGCAAGGAATGGTAATGACATATAGATAGATACATAAAGATAGACAAATAGATAAATAGATAGGCAGATAGACAGGTTGATAGTGTTACCAAGACCCTGGTGCCGGCAGTAACCATCACAAGGGTAAAAATCAATGTTGCAACAAGTGATCACCCCTCCAGTGTGGTAGCTGTTCCTCCCCCCCCCTCAAGGAAGGTTCCTTGATGTTGGTGAGGGGCTCTTGATTTAGGGAATTGGATCTGTGCTCCAGTTTCCTGAATTAAGCCTGAATGCCTTCCACATCCCCCCCCCCACAGGTGCTATATAATCCTACGGGTTTAGCGCTTCCCCTTGATTATAATAATCCCCCTCCTCCCCCATTCCCTCCCCCCTCCCCTTCCTCCCCCCCGACAAATTACTCCCCTCCTCGTCACCCCCTCCAAGATAAGCACTATCCTGGAAGATTGAAATAGTAAGAACTGTCTCACCTCCCCAGGGGCTGCGCCCCCTCCTTCCTCCCCTCTCTCCCCTCTCTCCCCTCCCTCCCTCCTTCCCTCTCTCCCCTCTCTCCCCTCCCTCCCTCCTTCCCTCTCTCCCCTTCCTTCCTTCCTTCTTCTTTCCCTCCCTCCTCAGTGTCTGCTTTTTGTTCTTCATTCTTTTATACGTTTAATTTCATTATTCCTTACTCCTTTAATTCCCGTATCATTCTAGTATAATTCGCGTATCATTCTAGTATAATCCGCGCATCATTCTAGTATAATTCGCGTATCATTCTAGTATAATCCGCGCATCATTCTAGTATAATTCCCGTATCATTCTAGTATAATCCACGCATCATTCTAGTATAATTCCCGTATCATTCTAGTATAATCCGCGCATCATTCTAGTATAATTCCCGTATCATTCTAGTATAATTCCCGTATCATTCTAGTATAATCCGCGTATCATTCTAGTATAATTCCCGTATCATTCTAGTATAATTCGCGCATCATTCTAGTATAATTCCCGTATCATTCTAGTATACGCGTATCATTCTAGTATAATTCCCGTATCATTCTAGTATAATCCGCGCATCATTCTAGTATAATTCCCGTATCATTCTAGTATAATCCGCGTATCATTCTAGTATAATTCCCGTATCATTCTAGTATAATTCGCGTATCATTCTAGTATAATCCGCGCATCATTCTAGTATAATTCCCGTATCATTCTAGTATAATTCGCGCATCATTCTAGTATAATTCCCGTATCATTCTAGTATAATTCGCGCATCATTCTAGTATAATTCCCGTATCATTCTAGTATAATCGCGCATCATTTCTAGTATAATTCCCGTATCATTCTAGTATAATTCGCGTATCATTCTAGTATAATCCGCGCATCATTCTAGTATAATTCCCGTATCATTCTAGTATAATTCGCGTATCATTCTAGTATAATCCGCGCATCATTCTAGTATAATTCCCGTGTCATTCTAGTATAATTCGCGTATCATTCTAGTAAAATGTGTTTCATTCTAGATAATTCCCCGTGCCCATTCAAATTAAAAATCGCCCCATCATTCAAAGTAAAATTTCCCGGGTGCCTTCTGAAAAATTAATTTCCCCGTGTCATTTCTATTAAAATAAACCCCGCGCACATTCTAGTAAAATTCCCGTGCCCAATTTAAAAATTTATAATTCCCGTTCTTTCTAGTATAATCCGCGTATCTTTCAGTATAATTCCCGGTCATTTTAAAATTCCTTTATCATTCTAGTATAATTCGCGCATCATTCTAGTATAATTCCCGTGTCATTCTAGTATAATTCGCGATCATTTAGTATAATCCGCGTATCATTCTGTATAATCCCGTGTCTTTTAGTATAATCCGGTACTTCTTATAATCCCGTACATTCTAGTAAAATTCCCGGTCATTCTAGTAAATTCCCTGTCTTTTCTAGTAAAATTCGCGATCTTTAGAAAATTCCCGTGCATTTAGTAAAAATCCGCGTATCTTTTCCTAGTAAATTCCGTGTCATTCTAGTATAATTCGCGTATCTTTCCCTAGTATAATCCGCGTTTTCATTCTAGTATAATTCCCGTGTCATTCTAGTATAATCCGGTATCATTCTAGTATAATCCGCGCATCATTCTAGTATAATTCCCTTGTCAATTCTATTTATAATTCCCGTGTCATTCTAGTATAATCCGCGCATCATTCTAGTATAATTCCCGTGTCATTCTAGTATAATTCCCGTGTCATTCTAGTATAATCCGCGTATCATTCTAGTATAATTCGCGTATCATTCTAGTATAATCCGCGTATCATTCTAGTATAATTCGTGTATCATTCTAGTATAATTCGCGTATCATTCTAGTATAATTCGCGTATCATTCTAGTATAATCCGCGTATCATTCTAGTATAATTCCCGTATCATTCTAGTATAATTCCCGTATCATTCTAGTATAATTCGCGTATCATTCTAGTATAATTCCCGTGTCATTCTAGTATAATTCGCGCATCATTCTAGTATAATTCCCGTGTCATTCTAGTATAATCCGCGCATCATTCTAGTATAATTCCCGTGTCATTCTAGTATAATTCGCGTATCATTCTAGTATAATTCGCGTATCATTCTAGTATAACTGAGGAGTCAGTAAGGTAGAGTGGAACCAGAGTAGTAATTTCCTGGGAGGAAGAGGTCGATGGCTGTAATAGCCAGGGAGACGTAATACTAGAGTAACCCCCTACCACAACCCCACCTCAACCCCACCTCAACCCCTCCCCAAAACACACACACACACACACACACACACACACACACACACACACACACACACACACACACACACACACACACACACACACACACACACCAGCAACAAGGGGACACAGTTGGAAGTTGAAGACACAGATGAATCACAGGGATGTTAGGAAGTATTTGTTCAGCGACAGAGTAGTCAGAAAGTGGAATAGTTTGGGAAGCGATGTAGTGGAGGCAGGATTCATACATAGCTTTAAGCAGAGGTATGATCAAGCTCACGGTTTAGGGAGAGTGACCTAGTAGCGACCAGTGAAGAGGCGGGGCCAGGAACTAGGACTCGACCCCTGCAACCTCAACTAGGTGAATACAACTAGGTGAGCACACATACACATACACACGGGGCCAGGAGCTAGGATTCGACCCCTGCAACCTCAGCTAGGTGAGTACACACACACAGGATCCATACATAGCAGGGTGAAAGTGGACCTAGTAGCGACCTGCGACTAGGCGGGGCCAAGAGCTATGACTCAACCCTTGCAGCCACACTTTGCTGAGTACACACACAAACACACAATGTAACCTTGGCCAGTGTGTCAGCGTGTTAAGGAGCCAACAAGAATGAAAGGGACAGGTGAACCAGCTAGACTCTACCTGCTATTCACCTTAAATGAGGCAGTCATGAGACACATTAACTACCCTGCCAGTGTTCACACACTAGTCAGGAGGGAGGTAAAGAAAGAGATAGAACTAATATTCTAGAATTATTGTTCTTAGTAGGACAGCCTCTGAAAGAGAGATAACCGGGAAAACTAGAAGAACAAGCAGAGATAATTGTTAAAACTAGAAGAACAAGCAGAGATAATTGTTAAAACTAGAAGAACAAGCAGAGATAATTGTTAAAACTAGAAGAACAAGCAGAGATAATTGTTAAAACTAGAAGAACAAGCAGAGATAATTGTTAAAACTAGAAGAACAAGCAGAGATAGTTGTTAA